ATGTTAGACCAGGTGACGTTCTATAACCTACTGTTTATGTAATACTAGACCAGGTGACGTTCTATACCTTACTTGTTACAGTTATGGCCTGGTAGTTTACATTCTTCCTCGTCTTTCAGAGTTGTATTCAATACACGTTTTTTTCTCTTTCTAATTAACCAATGGTTATGATCCGATATGCATGTACATACACTAAAGGATATCATAGGTGATATGGTTCAATCATTTGTTTATGCAAATGTGGCCCTCTTAAAAGCCTTCTGTGATCATGGAGCAGATGTCGCGTTATAGCCTAGTTATTGATATTTAACGGGGTATTTGTGACGTTCAATAATCTTATTGGACACCTGTGACGTTATTACAGTATACAACACAGTTGTATCATTAATTTCGTTCACGATCAATAGCTCAAGAAGTAAGGATTGTGCTAGACATGAATGAATTATTTTTTTGCACACAGATACATGGATAGATAATCCTCGCTCAGCATCAAATTTATAAATAATCTAATTAGCCCATTGGTTGTACACCCACAGAGAATGACGCCATACCGTGCATCGCTCGAGCAATTGATCGTTAACTCCAGACTCTGTACCAGGTGACATTAGCCTCCTTCTGAAGAACTGATATTGAGGCTGGGAAATATAGATCGATCCTGGTTGTAAGACAGATAGTGAAGTGCCCTCATTTCACCGTTAAGTCTATTTTAGGTACAATACAATCACTTCGTTACGTCAAACACGCTTCGGGCACCAATAAAATGAAATCGTCCTACGTTCTCCCTTATTCCCAGACATAAACTGTCCCAAATTATAGACAGAGCAGTATGTAGGTTTCAGTAGTGATACACATTTATTCAAATTTAGGTAGGTAATGTTTATATAACTTAACAGTCATAGTATACAAAGCATTGATTACTTATTGACAAAATGCAGTTGCCTATAGCTTCTATACTGTGTTGGGCTGATAGGGGAAACGAAGACGTCATCGCTATGATTCTCTTAAATTTAAAAATATTTAAAAATTCTATATTCTTACAGATTTTGATTACAATATTTAATAATGTTATTCTATGATATACGAGCCTTATAAACAATCCTGTCGTATGTCATCTTTCTTTGTGTACTCATGAACTAAGGACTACATATGGAAATGCATTAATTTGGCAGGCATATGGACATACCATTTAATACATAAAAGAGATATCTTATATACTTTAAAAATTAACTCAGATTTCTCTATTGATTAAGAAGTATCTTAAATAATCAAAATTAAATTAGTTATCTCTATTCAATTTAAAGATATATCTTTTACTTAATAAAAATGTCTCTATTTCCAAAATTATATGAAATATTTCCGATTCTTTTAAAGATATCTACATTTGAATCAAAGATATTTTTTATGTTTTACAGATATAAATCGATTTCAATTTAATAGATCTCTATTAAAATTATAAAATATATCTCCACAAATTTGAATATATCTCTATTTGAATTAGAAATATGTCCCTTTCAATTAAAGATCTCTCTAATATTCTTAACTGTTAACCCCCACCCCTCTTTATCGAGGGGGGGGGGGGGGGCTAGNACATCTCTATCAAATTTGAATATATCTCTATTTAAAGTTCTCTTCCTAACTTAACTTATGGGTAAGCTTAAAATCCAGTTAATATATATGATCTGAGAATTGGAAACTAATATCAAAACGGGCAAAAGTTAACTAAAACTTAGTTTGTACACTAGCAGTAGTACTGACATTGATATTAGCTTAATTGTCCTACTTGTGAATTATAATTGAAAGCAAACGATTTTGTGATGACATTTATATTGATGTACTAGCTACACGAAACATTATCATAGCTTTGGTTCATCTGGTTTAACGTCCTATTAACAGCTAAGGTCATTAAAGGGCGTGCCGCGAAGCTACCACTACCTAAAAATATAATGTATATATATACATTCGCTTCGACCGCGAGCACTGTCTATGTCAAAGGTCACACACACTCCAGACAGTAGGTTGTTTGTTTATATATATATATATATATATATATAACAGCATTCCTAGTCGGGTCAGTGTGCCAATTTTCGCATTCGCCGTGTGTATACATAGGTCAAGTCAAACTGCCTTCTTCAGCAGATTTTGTGAGCGGCAAAGAAAACGGGTTTCATCGAGTCTTGTTGAGAACCACTTGTAAAATCAATATTTTTATGATGTCGAGTGCTCGCGTGAAGGGACCCTTGGTTTGTTAACCGTTATTGTATATCGACGTCCATTTTAGGGCGCTAATTTGCTAACAAACAGTTCACAGTTGTTCTCCCAACACTAAACTACACAGATGCTCTAGATGTATTTTTTTTCTCTTTACAATAATGCGCAACCGGAGTGGCTGATGATTAAGGAATATTGATTGATACTTGGAAAGCAATCACATAAGCCGCCTCCTTCGGCAATTAATTACGTGTATATAGTATATAGAATGGGGAGGGAGGGCAGCAGATATAAACAATATTCATTGCGCTATTATATCTTTTGTTGAAAGATTTTTATATGAGTCCTCTGTTATTACAAGTATATATACATATAAACAAAGCGTGTTTATCGTCATTCAATTTTAACATATATATTATTAACTATTTAGACGTCACGCTTAGCTAAACTTGATGCCCTTGCACTCATATTCATTAACCCGGTCAAAAGTCGTACACCGAGATTTTAAAATGTTATGCCACCATATATTGCACTATCGTTATACAAACCTGGTTACAATCGTGTGAAGCCTATTATTAGATCGATCGGTCGTCTATATTTATCGACTAGCGACCTGGTTACGTATATAGGGGGCGCCAGATTGGTACAGTCCTACGTCATCGTACCACATACCTAGTATTCAAAATGACTATTTATAATACGTAACAGAACTGAGAGATCGAGGTGACCTCGTTTTCGACCTGACATAACCCGCCGTGACCCAGTAGGAGCGGGTTCATCAACCTGCCGTCACCTAATTATAGGAGTCGTTCAACCCTCCTTCAGGAGAGTGATCCCTGCCGAACTGTGCACTCGCTCACCTGGATGTACCTCTTAAACTATTTTAAAATGACATATCTACTAACTCACAGTAGATTTCCCAAACTATGGACTAATACTTTACCTTTAATTAATGATATAAGGTGAGGAATGGCTAAATGTGTACTTACATATGTGTGCATCTGTACGAGTCTATAATATGTACATGTGTACCTGAATACACGTACATCCATTGTTTTAACATTATGCGTTAGTTGATTTTATTCAATTAAACACAGAAAATCTTATCAAAAAGAAGCAAATAAAAGATGCTCCGATTAGAATTAAAATATGATTGAGGTCATGAAGAAAATTATACTCGTAAACCAGAGAAGTTTGTCTTATGTCTATTTGATTCTGCCGATGCCATAATGCCATTTTATTTAGACGCAAAACAAATATCCGATGCTTAGCAATTACCGATTAACGGACTTCGTACGCAGTTTTGTGGCTCTGTATCTGGATTAATAAATTTCAGCGATTACCAATTTATGCTTCTTCCGCCGAGAAATCTGCTTTCTAAATATTTGAATTTGAAAATAACTGACATCAAAATGTCTTTTCCCTCTAAGTAAATTTCCTACTCGTCCTTATTTTTTTCACTATTTTTAGGAATAGCATTTCCATAAATTTTCATCAAGCGCATATTTCTTAATTTTCACACAATATGTATTTAATAGCAAAATTTTGATATGACCGAAGTTTGAGTCATGATCACAGGGGCGTGGACCATTTCATTTGTACGTTTAATAAAAAAATCTCCTGTGATACAAATCACTTTTAATTATACAAACAAAGCGACTCATCCCTGTGGTATTCGGGTTTTTTTTTATGGCGGTAACGCATGTTGCATTATTCACCACTTTACACTCTGTCACATGTCAGTACATGATCTGTATTTGAAATTTCCGTGACAAACTGCATTTTGAGACGTCACAAAAGTTTCAAACAAGAGGTCCAGGGGCCTTATCTCTTACATTTGTTATCTAATTGAGTACAGACATAACATTGAAATGTTTTACTCTGGAATGAAACCGTGGTGGCCATCTTGATTTATTTATTAACCTTTATATCGGTTTCGTTTCGTTTTATTTTCTTAACGCTAACCGCTAAACAATCATAATAATACATCTTTAAGAGAATGAGAACATAATTAGCAGATTGGTTGTGTTACTTTTGGTCTCAGTAGTGAAAGTTGACAAGTGAAAAATGTCTCAGCCAATTAATCTTTGATAGTGAATTGTGTTCAAACCAAATACCCCCCCACCGGATCCCTCAATTAACAAAATGGAAAACACTGATTTTCCCCATCCTTCTGTCATACAACATTGGGTTCCCTTTGCCCAATATTATATGTTTAATGTTCAAAGGTTCATCTGACGTTCAATCCATGCACGTACCGTGCAGTAGATTTTTTTCCAAGTTCCTTAATTTCCCCTATTTGTCTTCGTCCCTCTGGTCACATATCCATTTAATTTGGTTGAATTCCGAGAAGGTAGGATTTTAAAATAAGAGTAGAACACTGTGAAGGGAGATAACTTTTCTGTCATTAGGGTTTTCCTTTTTGCCATTTTTTAAATATGAATATGATGTTGGTGCATATCCACCGATTCCAGCTCGAACGTATTATATGTTACGTGTATATGTTACGTTTACGCTGCAATAGTTTATATCAACTGGCTGTTTTGTACAAATCTCAAATTTTATATTAAAGAGTTCCAATCAAGATGACAACACATCAGTTATTTTTCATTTCCCCCAACCGAGAGATCGTATTAATCTCCATCTAAAATGTCTTTATAGGAAATTCCTATAAAGACATTTTAGATGAATAAATTGAGGCCTATGTGTTGTGGTTAAATACAAACACTTAAATGATCATGAGTCAGTTTGAATTTGTCTCGTGGACGCTTGTATTTCCGGAAGCGGTGGATTTGATTTGGGTCGTAAACAGAGAGAGTGACAGGCTACACAGAAAGTTGAAACACGGACTACAGTGCAGTTGTAGGTCCTACTACACTGAGTTTCATATGCACAATAACGGTACATCTACATATGTCACTTCTCTTTTCAATTTACACGAAGCAATGAAATCAATGACCGTGAGTACTGACTGTTTGGACTGTAAACGGACCACCGTCTTCAGTAATGTTATGAGTACAGTCACTAATCCAGCTCCGGTTGCTTGGAGCACAGGGATTCGTTACAAATGTTTGAAACACATGCGATATACTGATATTAGTGATAGCACACATACACTTACACGTTGATATTGGTCATAGCACACATAAACTTACACGTATGTTTATGTCTGAAATACACAGCTATAACTGATATGGGTCACAGCACACATAAGTGCATATGTGTATTTCGGACATTTCTAACGAATCCCTGTGCTTGGAGGTTAAGATATCGGGGTGATTCCCTCCTTGAAAGATCCAAAACTTGGGTAGGCCTACCAAAGATTCACAGGGGGTCGAGACAAATGTCTACAATACACATGTGCTATTACTGTATAGGTCACAGCACGCACAGATAATTGTAATGAACCATGCACTGTGTAAGATTAAGATGTTTCGATTACCTCTTTGTAAAGACGAAAATGCTGAAGAACCTTAAAATTCAAAATTAGCTACACACATGACACGGAAAGCAAACAAAGTACCAAGTAAAAACACGAGTCAGCAGGTCTAAGTGTTGAAAAGGTTATAAAATATTAAAACGACTTTTGGAACAAGCATCAAAACATCTCGGTACCTAGTAAGGGACAGAGTACGGAAACATCTGTACCCCCAGTAGTAATATACAGCCATTCCGGATTGATTGTATCCAAACTCTGAACGGTTAATCTTTCCAACAGTTCTTCGAAATTTGGACCAAATGCACTATGTATTTTAGGGTTGAGGCTAATATTACTACTTTCTTTGATCATTGACACAGTCTGTTGTGCCGACTAATCGGTTCGTACTATAACTACGGACAGGACAGGTGTTTTGAATTCTGTCTGTACATTACTGCAGTTGTGTAAATCAAGAAATTCCAAAAGTAACAACATAGTAATTTTGAATATGGCTTTATTTATAATTCTCAATTAACAGACAATTTCAAATACCTGTGTCCCGACTTAAACTACAGCCAGCTTGGCACTCTAACAGATTTGTTCCTGCCCTTAGCTGCTGATGACTCGTAATTGTTCCAGCCATAGAGGAAGGGAGGTCAAACACTCCCCGAGACATTCCAATGTTTTGGTTGAGTGCACTTCACTGGACTTCTGACATAAAATCCCTACATGAAAACATAAAGCTTAGTCCATTTGAAACTTTTATTTGATCACTAAATGATCAGTTATACCAGCTGTATCTACCTGGAATCTTAGTCCGAAATAAGTGATTATCTCCTCTTTAACCCTTTGACCCCTATGCAACTTGGCAACTGTATCTACCTGGAATCTTAGTCCGAAATAAGTGATTATCTCCTCTTTAACCCTTTGACCCCTATGCAACTTAAGTAGATTCTACCATGCATTGACATGGATGAGTCCATTTTGGTCTAGTGGTGAAAGGGTTAAAAAAATTGATAAGGCATACATTTCTGTTAAAAGAATTTATTTTGATTTTTTCCCTGTTTTTATGATTGCAGTGATTCAATGCCAGTGAGCCGACATTTAGTATTGGCTACTGTTACTGGTTTCCCCGACACACATGTGGCCTACCCTTATTGTCTCTGCTGCTACTCAAAGCTACTGAAGGATCAGAACCAAGACTGGTAAGTATAAAGGCCTAATACTCTGCATGCAATTATTTCAATACCCAAGTGGTACCAGGCTCAGTTGGTAGAATCAGCTGGTAAAACTGACCATGGCAAGGGAAGCACATACACATACTTTGTATCTCGACCCCTCAGTTAGTTAGTCCTTTTTGTGCCATCACCAGAGATTTCCATTTCTGTCTGTCTTGGGACCACTGGTGTATTTGTCCCCATGTCCAGTCTTTCTGTTTTAGTTCTTTCTCAACAGACCGTCTCCAGGTTTCCTTTGGTCTTCCTCTCTTTCTTTTTCCTGGTGGTGTCCATCTCATTGCAACCCTAGGGATGGAAACTGGGTGCATTCTGAAGACTTGTCCAATCCACCTCCATCTCCTTCGCTTGGCTTCTTGTGAACAGCAACAGGGTCTAAAATCATTTTCAAATAATAAGTTACCAGGTAGAATTGATCCCAAGGGATCTACACTCACTTAATTATAATGGTATACACATGCATAGTTCTTTATATATGTGTGGAACAAATATAAATTGATACATGTATACGAGTTAAATATGGTATACCAAAATATACCTCTTTACACATGTGGGTCTTTCCCTCCCTTTAGAAACATAAACACTATCAACATTTACTATGAACATTTATATCTGTTAGCTTATAGCTTTACCTACATGTTAGGGCTGCTACGATATGCATACCTCAGGATACGATACATGTCGCAAATCAATGCTTATGATATGATACGTACCATGATGTGGCACCCTAGGTAAAAGAACCTTCAATATTGCACCTTAGTTAAATAAACCTGTAAGTGGCACCCTTTAGGGAAATTAACCGTGGAGGTGATACCCTAGGTATAATGTACCTGGGATGCATGTGGCACCCTAGTTAAATTTTCTCTGGATGTGGCATCCTAGGGATATGTACCCTGGAGGCAAATATCATGCAATGAAAATGTACTGTGGACGTGGCACCCTAGGTAAAAGTTCCTCGAATGTGGCACCCTAGGGATATGTACCCTGGATGTAACACCCTTGATGTTAAGTACCCTAAATGGAGCACCCTAGATATACAAGTACCTTAATGTAGCACCATAAGTTAAAGTAACCTTGATGTCCCACCCTAGATGATGCTTATAACTTTGGAAACCATATTTGAATTGCATGTATTTCTCTGAATGATATCAAGGGTCTTGATTTATTGACTTTCTATATATTCCATAGCTGGTTGTGCTGTAAGTGTGGGCAGTCCTGTCGGAGTGACCAGGTGGAATGGCGGTACCGGCTAGCCTTGACCATCACGGACGGGGACACCATTGCCAGTGTCTGTCTGTTTGGGAGCATGTTAGACCAGTTCTTTGGTTGTACAGCTACACAATTTAAAAGGTTTTTAACATCCTTCAACAGAATGATATTCTGATCTTATAAACTGGTTTTCCATGCTTTAATGGAAAAACTATAGGTTTATGCAATATTACATTTCCATTCAACTTGAATTCAATCACCCCTGAAATTTTATGATGAACTATTCCAACCTTTGAATTGGAAGGGTTCAAATGTGTCTTCAATTAAATGGATTCAACTAACTTCTTTGGACAGGAGTTTCTTATAAACAAACCAAGAATTCTTTTTGACAACTTGATACATTTCTAGAGAAACTTATAAAGAAGAACATGATTATAGAAAAACTGTAAAGGTAATCTGTGACAGTCAAGGTCACAAATTACAAAATCAATCACTTTTTACAAGAGGAATGAATTTAAGATCATAATATTGGGTACAGTTGTTTATCAAGATATAAAGCCAAAACTGTTTAAGATTTGCCAGAAAAAGGGAAAAATAAAAGGTTTATCTTATTTTAGCACAAAACTGAGACATACAATGTTTTTCAAACTTTTATGTTTTACAGAAAATGATAATTTGAAAAAAATAAATCTTTCCAAAATGCAGTATTGTTTGAATTACATACTGTCGATAAGTGATCACATGTACCTATAACGTTTGTTTTGTTTTTCCAGGTACTTCCTCAGACTGGAGTCGTCATGTGATCATTCTGACGAGCTGCTGAAGCGAGCTGTAGAGCAGTCCTTCATCGGTCACTCCTATTACTTCGGCTTCAAAACCACGGGGACAATCAACCGGCAAGGTCCAAATGCACCGATCACTCTCCGACAGTTGGTCAGCAATTTAGAAACGAAATGTCAGACTTCTCATGAAAGTGTCTCTAACATTGTTGCATTCCAGATCTTGCCGTCAACCACCACAACCCAAAGCACTGTTCTGGATCTCGTATGTTTAGATTTGCGAAAAAAGTCATCAGTACTGACTGAAAGATCACCATCTGAAGAGGTGGAGGCACATTTGACCACGGATCAGACATTTTCTCCGGTGCGAATTCATGGAGCAACGAATGAACCCAGTGTTTCGTTCTGTGATGCTAACAGATCTGCTGAGGGTTATAAGGATTTGACTCACTCTCCAAGTTTTGTTTCGGTTTGTGGATCTTCATTTGGTCAGGAAACTGCGCTGCTTAGTTGTGATATGTCAAAGTCTGTTAATAACATTTCCTGTGAAGTCCTGTCACAGCTACACAGTACAAATACATGTGATCAAACTGCAACCAAGGGTAATCCTAACGAAAAAGATTCTTTGGGTCAATTTTCGACGGAACAACAGTCTTCAGATGACGTTATAAGTTCAGAAAAGTATGCTCCAGACTTTTCGTGTATGGACAAATCATCTGCATATTCATCACTTTTGGGAATCCAGGAATCATCAGCTTCTCATGAACTTATGAAATCACGATCACAGAGACTGGACAGTTCTGGATACAACTCATTGCTAAAAAGTTTACTCAGTCTGGATGGAAATTCAAAAGAGTTTTCAGGAATTGATGGATCTATCAATCAAGGTTCTTGGAACAAGGAAAACGTTAGCAATTATAAACTCGGTGTAGAGAGTGTTAAGGAGAATGATCCTTTTTCTGGATCACTAAACAACAGTGCCATCTTACTGGCATGTTTCGATTGTACAGCAAAGTCATCTTCTAAACCTATGTTCAATTCGGATAATGTTGAAAAAAGTTCAGCAAAAAGTGAACATCCTTCGTCAAAAGGAAAACATGTTCTTGTGACAAGAGCATCAAGGGACAATGTTAGCTGTGTGACAAATGTACACATTGGATGTAACCAAGAAAACTCCAACACAGGAGACAGAATTAAGGACAGATTCAAACAGTTTGCTTCAGTTAGAAATAACAGAAATAGGAAAAAGAGCAATGACAAGAACCACATATTGGCCAATACAGAGAGCACCTCGGACCAACTTTTGATGTCTGGTAGAGTTGGAACTCCTGTGGGGAACACATCCAAGGTATTTATGTCAGATGGTGATAGAAATACAATGAAAGAAGGCAAAGTTCCTTTGTTAACCTCAGACACAAAAATGAAGAACCAAAACCATGCCTTAGCGTTTCCAGAATCAGAGGACATGTGGGCATACTTGACCGACGAGGAAGAATTTTGTAATGCAGGAAACATTAGCGTGGGTAGACCACACACAGTACAATCAAAGGGAGGTAATAATGTCACCGAGAATGTGAATATTTCTCAAGTCTACAAAAGAACACCAAACACAGTACAATCAAAGGGAGGTAATCATGTCACCGAGAATGTGAATATTTCTAAAGTCTATGAAAGAACACCAAACACAGTGCAATCAAAGGGAGGTAATCATGTCACTGAAAATGTGAATAATTCTCAAGACTACAAAAGCAGAAAGACCGGTTCTGATGAGGAAGATTCAGATGAAACATTTGATGAATGTTTTGATCCAGAATTTCTAAATTTGGTTGAACAGGATTTTACTGATGCAGAAGACAATTCTGATGAGATGGCATGTAATGGAAATAAAAAAAATGACAGTGTAATGCAGGATTTTTATGATAAAATTAAGACTGCAGGGAAGCTTGATTCTGATGACGATGTTGACACGGGGTCACAAGATTCCGATGAAACGCATATTTCTGATGAGGATGATGATGCAGGATCACACAATGCTGATGAGGAAAATGATGAAGGATCACTAGATTCTGATGAGGTTTTTGACACAGGAACACATGAATCTGATGAGGATGTTGACACAGGAATACATGTTTCCAATGAAACACACGTTTCTAATGAGGATGTTGACACAGGAATACACGATTCTGATGAGGATGTTGACACAGGAACACACGATTCTGATGAAACACACAATTCTGATAAGGATGTTGACACAGGAATACACGATTCTGATGAGGATGTTGACACAGGAACACACGATTCTGATGAGGATGTTGACACAGTAACGCAATATTCTGACAAAGAAACTGACATGGTAGGAAAATGCAATGCTGATGACAATATGGACGTCTCAGGAACACAGGACTTTGATGACAATCTTCACACTGCAGGAATGCATGGTTCTGATAAAAGAAGTAAAACTGCAGATAAATTTGATATTGATGATGAAGGAACAAATAGAGAAATATATACCCGCGAGGAAATTGATTTTACAAAAAGTAGGGCTGTGCTATCGACTTCTCAAAAAGCGTGTACAAGTACAACAGCTCTTTCAGTCTCTGAGAAACATCCAACCGATCACAATACGAAGTTAGACAACCCAGAGTCTGATGCTTATCTACAGGGAGGAGTTGAACCCATGCCAGACTCTGAGGACCTGTGTGCATTTCTGGACAGTACATTCGGAGACGTAACAGAGGAACCAAGTTTGAAGATTCTGAGTCATGTTCTTTATAATAATGAAGATGTGGCTGGAGAGAATGCAGATGATCACTTGGCTGAAAATGATGAAGAAAATGGTGTCAAATTGGGTATAAAGGACAACAAAAATATCAACAATGAAAACAAATTGAGTACTAGTGCTTCTGAAAATTCTGACCTAGGAAATTTGAATAGTGAAAGTGAACTAGAGAATGTGAGTATGAAAACCAACTTTAAAGACGAAACACAAAGAAACAGTGCTTGTATACACGTCCTGCCAACCAGTGATGAGACAATTGAACACTTAGAGAGTATGTTTGACGATTCTTTTGATGAAGTTGAAATACGAAATGAAGATCAGGTTCATTCTAGCCAGGAAACTGTGTTTTCAAAGTGTCCAACACATGAACACCACAGTTTTTCCACCAGAGACAAAACTGCACAATCTTCCTCAAAATCATTTCAGCATCATTCAGAAAGGGAAAACTGTCATCCGCTGCAAGACAAGGTTAATTCTTTGTGTAGCAGTGCTAATACTGTCAGTTTTGTGTCTCGATTACCTGACCCCTATAACAGAGATATTGATCACAGTAGAGATGACTCAACTCATTATCAACGTTGCGAAGATCTTCAGAATCAAGATCCTTATAGCCAAGATCTTCCTATTCAAGATAATCTTACTGAAGATAAACAGAGTCAGGATGTTCTGTCTCAACTTCAGCGCAGTCAAGATATTACAGGCCAAAATCTTCTCCATAACGATGATCAGCATCACCTCAGTGAAAACTGTCTGAGCCAAGACCAATCTTGTTTGTCTAAAGAATCATCATTAAACTTTAATACATCAACTGATTTGTTCGGATGTTCAGGGAACAGCAGTGTTGCACTATGTAATGATACCTACTCACAGTCCTTAACCCATGATGGTGTTCATTTTTTCCCCAACAGTTCCAGAGTAGAGGAATTTAGGACAGCCATTTGTAGCCCATTAAGAAATGGCAAACTAGAAATTGAAGAAAAGGTAAAAACTGTCCAGTTTGCCAGGAGACTTAGTTGTGTTAAAACCATACAGTTGATCGACATTGAAATGAAAATGCGACAAAATCCTGGTCTCAAACTTCCTGCGATACCCAAGTCATGTCTCAAGGTACAAGTAGCCTCCCCTTGTTCTCCGCCATGTTTTAAACGTGATACTAAAAAACTAAAACTTTCAAAAGTGTTCAATTTAAGAAAACAGGAAAAACTGGAGTCGCAGGATTTGTTTTCTTGTTCTACAATATCGGAAAATTCCTGTGATGTCATTATCAATCCTAGGGCTATCTTTCCTGGAGGTACTGAAGATGTGTTTTCCTGTGATGACGCAGCGATACCCGGGACACAGGACCTTTTTACTCCCAGTCCTGTTCAAATGTCGGACAGCATAAATTCTGATTTTGTACTGGGAAGTGCTAGTTGTAATCGAAAAGGTAAAAGGTTCAAATTTCCAACATGGACCAAGAAACCTTCACATTGTCAGGCATTTGTATCTACACCACTTGAAGGCTTCACTGACAAACTTTGTGCTTCTAGAGAGGAACTGTCTGGACTTGTGTCACCGAAATTATCACAAGGCAGTGAGGATTCATTTGCTCAAAATTCTGCATCTTTGTTCCTGGACAGTTTTGATGACTTGCATGTTACAAACAGTAGTTCAGCTCAGGTTGTTAGATACCCCTTCCAACTGGAAAATCATTCACTAAGAACTACCAATCTTGGTAAAAGGAAAGACATAAGCCCCATCTGTATAGGGTTTAACAGTCAGTCTAGGGGAGATAACCACATACCGACAGGGGAAGTAACTCTTGACACTGGCACACCAGATTTGTTTGGAACCTCCAATGTTTCTGCTAGTACAAGTGGGTTTCGATCAAGTAAAAAATTTCAAAGCTCGAATTTAGCCACAAATTTTACCTTCCCTGTAAAAAGACTCTTCTTAGATTGATTGATTTTTTTTCTTCTAAAAATTGAAACATTAATAAATGTAGCTCAGAAAGTAAGTTGTTCATGGTATATATGTCAGCTCTTGTTGCCATGATTATTAAAATCTCTAAGTTTAACACGTTAACCAGTGATTACAGGTTTTCCGTTTAAGGTAGCATAACAGAAGTAAAAAGAGTTACATATCAGTGCTTGTTGTTTTCCCTTGGCATGTTCTCCATTGAGTTTAGATGTTAAAGCATGCAACCTCAATGAATTTTTCTGGTGTAGATATTGACATACAACCTTAAGCAAGGTACTCATATTTCAATTTTATACTGTGCATATGCCATACACTTCCTGAATATCAATATTTCATTAAGTGTACATATTGAAGGATAGTCGGTGTATAGGGTTACATTTGCGTATACTGGTTGAAACGGTACAGGTGGCGCAGAAATATTCAACGATAAACGAACACACTTGGACCGAACTATTGGCAGAGCTAAAATGCATAGTTTCGGAGAATAAATAACAATATATCAAGAATAATATTTCCTTTTTTCACGCATCCACTAAATTATATAACATTTCTAAAAAATCTACATGGGGATTGACCTTGTTTTATAAAGAAATACTGCAACTAGCAATAGTCAGCATTTTAGTTTTGGTCAGGAACTTTTGGCCCCCTCAATCTACACGTCCCGAATATTCCCGGGGTCAGCCAAAGTCCAGATCTGCAACTGTCATTTTCTTAAAGGTTCAACCGTTTCAACTGGTAAAACTGGATACGCGAAAGGGGCCTAGTCCTTGTATTCAACCCCACAATATTTTTTATTCCCAAATATTGAAATTTCTTTATTTCTGTAAAATACATTGCAAGATGTGTTTCATATGGAGTATTTCTTTAGCTTGTAAATACAGTGTACAAGTTTTGAGGATTTCTGGGATGTGTGCAATAAAGGGATTTTATATATATACATGTATTTCATCTGTTGCTAAACTGATTTACTGTTGGTAGTTTGTAAAATTTGTGATACAGCATCATACATTGTACTGAATCAGAAATATGTGGTTGTAAAGACAGTAATGTTTGAAGCATGTTTAGCCAGGTCAATCTTATATTAACTGCTAATGTACAAGCCAGTGCACCACACACACATACATGTATCTAATTTATATATATGTACTTGATTATGTATACATGTAAAGTAAATATTTTTAAGAAATACTTCAATAATTTCTCTATGCCTTCAATGGAAATATCACAGGAAGCCAGGAATTTGAAAAAGTTTCAATAAAGAATACTGTTTCTTATTAATGTAACATAGATCATTATTTTATCAATGCCTCCACTAGGAGTCGAACCCGGGATCTCTGGCTTACTAGTCTTACGCTCTACTGAATGAGCTAAAGGGAAATTCTCCCTAGCCTAGTGGGTAGGAAGCTATTTTACAAGGGTGACATTAAAAATAACAAAACACATCATTGATCAATTAAAATAATTCAATTTCATTTAATATATATATATATATATGTTGTCCACAAGTGAAATATCCAATTACAAGGAAACAATACATTAAACACATACAGGGGACAGTTTGGCAAGTTTTGTACCAAAGAAACAGGTTCAAAACCAACCTTTAGAGGCGTTTCATTTGTATTGAAATCAGTATAATAGATGATTTTGATCATTCCTTGTTTAATTGTGACATTGTCTAACATTTCAGTGGGAGCCATGTACATGTTGGATACCCTAGCCAATACGATTTTATACATTATGATCGGCCCTGTACCACTCCCAAAAACAGTAAATTTGCATCAGAAGCATTTTTCCTGCATAACTATAAGTTTGTTAAATTATTTCTGAAAAGAAAACCATACCTTACAGGACTTTCATGAAATAATAATGAAGATAAAATAAACAATATTGTTCTGAGGGTAAAACACAACAGGACTGGACCAGAATTCTGAAACAGGAGAGGAAAAATGCACGGCCAGACCGGGGTTTGAACCCGGGACCCTCTGAACTCTAGACAAATGCTCTACCAATTGAGCTATCTGGTCGCCGACGATCGACCCAGTCCAGTTCCGCTACAATTCAAACCCTGGAATATGATCATTATGTTGTTGCTGTTTAACTCATTCACCCCTGAAATTTCATAATGAACTATTCCAGCCTTTGGATTGGAGGAGGTCAAATGTGTCTTCAAGGGTGCACGAGTTAACAAAATTTAGCTACCTTAGAGGTCAACGGTAGTACTCTGGTTCAGTAAAGCTACAGTGGTATATCCAAAACGAAATGAATGGGAGATTACTCTATGTACACAAAACTAGAGGAATTATCTAGTGTTGTTTCTGCAGTGGGACAGGGAAACTTAAATACAACCTCGGGGCCTGTGATTCATGATGCATTCAGCATCAATGATACTTTGAAGCCATTTCTATTTCATTCACGTTAACAGCTAATCTGTGAAAAACTTATGACATGTTTCATTTTCAAAACGGTTTATTATAATTGTATCATTGTTGGGGTCCTTTAATTTGCCCATTCAGGCCTAATTGGTCTGACGCTCAAAGAGAAGTAAACGGCTTAAAACTGAACTATTCCTGACGTTCAACTTGTGATAAAAAATGTTTTCATTAATAAAAATATGTGTTTTTAATTATGAGTTTATTTCTTTATGTTAACTCATTCACCCCTGAAGACACATTTTGAACTCTTCCAATTCAAAGGTTGGAATAGTTCATTATGAAATGTCAGGGGTGAATGAGTTAAGATCACAATTGCACCATGTTAACATTATTGGCCATCACAAAACCCATGTTAGCCCATTAAAGGGAACACATCAATAATACATTTAATATATTGTCATTTAATCATCTGCAGACAATGCCATACCGGTTATTGCCTGTGCCTGCATCATTGTTGGTCTATATAAACTGGATATTTGACGGGTAAGTTGTTCGAAAAATATAAAAACAAAACACAAGGTTTTTAAAACCTTAACTTAGTTGAAGGGATATATAGTAAATGCCTCCGAATTCCTTTTATCCTGCAAGAAACTCATGTCAAGTAATAGGCCCACCCATATATCTATTATAGTTCAGAAGAAATGCCAATAAAAGATATTTGATTGTCCTGTAATAAGCCAAGACCCCTTTGAGTCCGAGATTACTTGTTGACCCATCACCCCCCGTTGAGTCCGAGATAACTTGTTGACCCCCATCCCCCATTGTTTCCAAGATTACTTTTTGACCCCTCCACCCCACATTGAGTCCGAGATTACTTGTTGACCCCCCACCCCTTTGAGTCTGAGATTACTTATTGACCCCCATTGAGTCCGAGATTACTTGTCGACCCCCATTGAGTCTGAGATTACTTGATGACCCCCCCACGGCCCATTGAGTCCGATATTACTTGTCGACCCCCACCCCTTTGAGTCTGAGATTACTTGTTGACCCCCATTGAGTCCAAGATTACTTGTCGACCCCCATTGAGTCCGCGATTACTTGTTGACCCCCCACCCCTTCGAGTCTTGAGATTACTTGTTGACCTCCCCCCTCCCCTCCCCCATTGAGTCTGAGATTACTTGTTGACCCCCACTCCTTTTGAGTCCAAGATTACTTGTTGACCCCCACCCCTTTGAGTCTGAGATTACTTGTTGACCCCCATTGAGTCCGAGATTACTTGTCGACCCCCATTGAGCCCGAGATTACTTGTTGACCCCGACCCCTTTGAGTCTGCGATTACTTGTTGACCCACCAACCCTTTGAGTCTTGAGATTACTTGTTGACCTCCCCCCTCCCCTCCCCTCCCCCATTGAGTCCGAGATTACTTGTTGACCCCCCACCCCTTTGAGTCCAAGATTACTTGTTAACCCCCCACCCCTTTGAGTCCGAGATTACTTGTTGACCCCGCTCCCCCATTGAGTCCGAGATTACTTGCTGACCCCCCACCCCTTCGAGTCAAGGATTATTTGTTGGCCCCCTGGGCTTATTGCAGGATAAATACAGTAAAAGCTTGGAAGTTGTTTTCATTGGTTGAAAAACATCACATTGATATTTGACAACATGCTTAAACCGTCTATTTTGACATCATGATTCATGAAGAATTCGTCTGGTTGGAAATAAAAATCTTGTATACGACATTGCTTTCACGATATATAGTGAATATTCTGGTATAAAAAGGATCCCAAACTCTTCTAGGTTGATAACATCATTTTAATCTAAATCCTGTTAATAATTTTTTGTAGAACTATAAAAAGACACTTTATACACCTTGGGTCTCGATAAAACTTGCACATTAACAAACTTTGTTAAATAAACTTGACAACCAAGCACTTTTCATTTGGGAACCTTTAAATATACACAAACAGGAGAATATCAATCACAACAAGAGGCCCATGGGCCTTAACGGTCACCTGATATATTTATACAGAGAGTTGATTTCGTTTTTAACATGAACAGAAATATTATTCAAAGTGACAAAAAACAATAAAACCACCTTATTCAATATCAAGCATACAGATTTCAGACTAAAAAGGATTTGAAACTAGCACCTCTGATTCTAAACAAGGAAAAGGAAGAAATTTTAGCACACGGACTCCTTTGGGCCCCACCCTACAGCCCTTGGGGGAAGGGTTGGCTCAAAATTTTCAAAGTATCAAACTGTCAACTCAAGGTTATAATTCCAATCAAGTTATTAACATGTAATATTCAAAGTATCATTTGCCATTATAAACCATAATANACTGACAAACTTTATGCTTCTAGAGCGGAACTGTCTGGACTTATGTCACCGAATTTATCAAAAGGCAGCGAGGATTCATTTGCTCAAAATTCTGCATCTTTGTTCCTGGACAGTTTTGATGACTTGCATGTTACAAACAGTAGTTCAGCTCAGGTTGTTAGATACCCCTTCCAACTGGAAAATCATTCACTAAGAACTACCAATCTTGGTAAAAGGAAAGACATAAGCCCCATTTGTATAGGGTTTAATAGTCAGTCTAGGGGAGATAACCACATATCGACAGGGGAAGTAACTCTTGACACTGGCACGCCTGACTTGTTTGGAACCTCCAATGTTTCTGCTAGTACAAGTGGGTTTCGATCAAATAGAAAAGTTCAAAGCTCGAATATAGCCACAAATTTTACCTTCCCTGTAAAAAGACTCTTCTTAGATTGATTGTTTTTTTTCTTCAAAAAATTGAAACATTAATAAATGTAGCTCAGAAAGTAAGTTAGTCATGGTATATATGTCAGCTCTTGTTGCCATGATTATTAAAACCCTTGCCTATCTCCAAGTTTAACGTGTTAACCAGTGATTACAGGTTTCCCGTTTAAGGCAGCATAACAGAAGTAAAAAGAGTTACATATCAGTGCTTGTTGTTTTCCCTTGGCATGCATATATGTTCTCCATTGAGTTTAGATGTTAAAGCATGCAACCTCAATGAATTTTTCTGGTGTAGATATTGACATACAACCTTAAGCAAGGTACTCATATTTCAATTTTATACTGTGCATATGCCATACACTTCCTGAATATCAATATTTCATTAAGTGTACATATTGTAGGATAGTCGGTGTATAGGGTTACATTCGCGTATCCAGGTTGAAACGGTACAGGTGGCGCAGAAATATTCCACGATAAACGAACACACTTGGACCGAACTATTTATTGGCAGAGCTAAAAATGCATAGTTTCGGAGAATAAATAACAATATATCAAGAATAATATTTCCTCCTTTCACGCGTCCACTAAATTATATAACATTTCTTAAAATCTACATGAGGATTGACCTTGTTTTATAAAGAAATACCGCAACTAGCAATAGTCAGCATTTTAGTTTTGGTCAGGTACGTTTGGCCCCCTCAATCTACACGTCCCGAATATTCCGGGGTCAGCCAAAGTCCAGATCTGCAACTGTCATTTTCTTAAAGGTTCAGCCGTTTCAACTGGTAAAACTGGATACGCAAAAGGGACCTAGGTCTTGTATTCAAACCCAGGATATTTTTTGTTTCCAAATATTGAAATTTCTTTATTTCTGTAAAATACATTGCAAGATGTGTTTCATATGGAGTATTTCTTTAGCTTGCAAATACAGTGTACAAGTTTTGAGGATTTCTGGGATGTGTGCAATAAATGGATTTTATATATATACATGTATTTCATCTGTTGCTAAACTGATTTACTGTTGGTAGTTTGTAAAATTTGTGATACAACATCATACATTGTACTGAATCAGAAATATGTGGTTGTAAAGACAGTAATGTTTGAAGCATGTTTAGCCAGGTCAATCTTATATTAACGGCTAATTTACAAGCCAGTGCATCACACACACATCTAATTTATATATATGTACTTGATTATGTATACATGTAAAGTAAATATTTTTAAGAAATACTTCAATAATTTCTCTATGAGTTCAATGAAAATATCACAGGAAGCCAGGAATTTGAAAAAGTTTCAATAAAGAATACTGTTTCTTATTAATGTAACATAGATCATTATTTTATCAATGCCTCCACTAGGAGTCGAACCCGGGATCTCTGGCTTACTAGTCTTACGCTCTACTGAATGAGCTAAAGGGAAATTCTCCCTAGCCTAGTGGGTAGGAAGCAGCTAGTATTTTACAAGGTTGACATTAGAAATAACAAAACACATCATTGATCAATTAAAATAATTCAATTTCATTTAATATATATATATATATATGTTGTCCACAAGTGAAATATCCAATTACAAGGAAACAATACATTAAACACATACAGGGGACAGTTTGGCAAGTTTTGTACCAAAGAAACAGGTTCAAAACCAACCTTTAGAGGCGTTTCATTTGTATTAAAATCAGTATAATAGATGATTTTGATCATTCCATGTTTAATTGTGACACTGTCTCACATTTCAGTTGGGAGCCATGTACATGTTGGATACCCTAGCCAATACGATTTTATACATTATGATCGGCCCTGTACCACTCCCAAAAACAGTAAATTTGCATCAGAAGCATTTTTCCTGCATAACTATAAGTTTGTTAAATTATTTCTGAAAAGAAAACCATACCTTACAGGACTTTCATGAAATAATAATGAAGATAAAATAAACAATATTGTTCTGAGGGTAAAACACAACAGGACTTGAACAGAATTCTGTAACAGGAGAGGAAAAATGCACGGCCAGACCGGGGTTCGAACCCGGGACCCTCTGAACTTTGGATGGATGCTCTACCAATTGAGCTATCTGGTCGCCGCAGATCGACCCAGTCCAGTTCCGCTACAATTCAAACACTGGAATATGATCATTATGTTGTTGCTCTTTAACTAATTCACCCGTGAAATTTCATAATGAACTATTCCAGCCTTTGGATTGGAGGAGTTCAAATGTGTCTTCAACTTAGTTAAAGGGGTATATAGTAAAAATGCCTCCAAATTCCTTTTATCCTGCAATTTACTCATGTCCAGTAATGGCCCACCCATATATCTATTATAGTTCAGAAGAAATGCAAATAAAAGATATTTCATTGTCCTTTAATAAGCCAAGACCCCTTTGAGTCCGGGATTAACTGTTGACCCCCCACCCCTTCGAGTCCGTGATTACTTGTTAACCCCCCACCCCTTTGAGTCCAATATTACCTGTTGACCCCCACCCCTTTGAATCCAAGAT